ATTCAATATCTCCATCTCGCCCAATATTTCTATGTTTTTGTGTCGTTTTTTGTTCGCTTCTTATTGATTTTTCGTGTCGTTTTTTTGTGCGTTTCTTACTGATTTTTCGTCATTGTTTTGTGCGTTTCTTACTGATTATTCGTGTCTTTGTTTTGTGCGTTGCCAATTGTTGTATTTCATTGTCAGTGTTTGTTTTTGTATTGCATTTTTTTATTTTTTAATCTGGTACTTATCAATTGCTATAGGAACATCTTATCAGTGCCAGATTTCGGGCAATTATATTTTGAATTTTTGGTGCGCTAGCAAGGGTTCAAGCGCTAAATAATTTCAAGAAATTTTTAATTTACTACTATCTTACATCGAAAATCACGGCTATGCATTTGACCAACTTTACTTAAATATGGTTTAAAAAGAATTTCTTCATTTAATAATGGATGTTCCCGGAATAAAAACTATATTAAACGAAAACACTCCGATTGGCTTTCCAAAACCGACAAGTTTGCAAGCCGCAGCAAACGCAGCAAATCGTGGTCGCCCAAGAATCAACTATGCAGAATGTTCTCAAAGGACAAAACGTCGTCGAATTGCAGAAATTACAAAACAAAATGCGTCCGCAGGCGATGACTTACGTTCCGCAAGCCATCAATATTACCAGCCAAAATTTCTGCTGTAATAGATCTTATAAAAGATGCAAATTTAACAAAGCATCAGTATATGCTAATAAGAAATTTATTAACATAACAGTAGACGCGCCAGCACACGACAAAAAAAAAATAATTGTGACAGAACTTGCTGCTGAAGTAAAGCTCCAGACCTAATTAAACCATACAGCCACAAGAAGTTATTGAAGAAAAATTTGGAAAAATCCTCGCCCATCATCCACACGATTCTGCCGCCCCATAAGATTTCAATGTATAAAAGAATCCGAATGAATGTTCTAAAACTAAAATAGACAATCTATTACCCACCCAGTATAAGCTAAAGAACAAAGTTATAAATGTTACTCATTTGCTGCAATTGACAATGGTTGACGGCAATGTTTGTAACGCACTTTCCCAATCGTCGTCAGCCAAATGTTGTATTTGTGATGCTAAGCCAACCGAAATGAATAACATAAAAATCTGCTTAGAAGGAACAGTTCATAAAGATTTTGGGTTATCTCCGCTGCATGCTTATATTTTTTGAATACTTCATACATATGGCTTACAGACTTCCAATAAAGCAATGGCAAATAAGATCGATGAAGGAAAAGCCACAGTGCGGAATCGAAAAATTGTAATTCAGAAACAATTCCGACAAAAATGTGACTCATCGTTGACAAACCAATGATGGAAACTCACACCGGGAATTTTTCAAAAACAGGAGGTTGCCAGCCGAAATAACAGGGTTAGATTACGCATTACATACAGCTGAGCAATTAACTAAACAATACGCGTGGTACTATATTCCAGCTACAGTTCATAAAGTTTTGATACGGGCCTGATATAATTAAAAACGCTTTAGTTTCCATTGGCGAATTTTCGGAGGAAGTGGCTGAGTCAAAAAATAAGAATGTAAAAACACTTAGAAGGCAGCACACACGTAAAATTTCACGTGTGCTTACAAATACTGATTTATTTATAGATTACTGTTAAGTTCGGAACCCTATATATCTGGACAAAAAATATTTAAAAGCAATAATTCCATTTTAGACAAATCAGTTTATGATTTGCTTGTTTCTTTGTTTAAATTTACAGTTTTTTTATAATCAACTTATGGTTTATTACAGTAAACTATTGTTATTGTCGTTTAAATTTATATGAATATTCTTTTGTTATTTAATGATGTATTATTATATTTTCAATATATAAAATTTTAATTTTTTTATATTGCATTATTAGTTGAATTATTTATATATACATTTTATTTATGAATCTTTTCCTTTGGGAGACAAACAGTAAGTGTATTAAATCTTGAATTAAAAAGCTAAAATCAAGATGACTGACGCAAGATTAAGGGGCACTAATAACTATTGCTGAGCTTGAAGGTCATTGCATTAAACGGGTGCATCCGTGCTTAGCCCCTGGCGAGATGGTTCGGATAAAAAGTTAGATTGGTGTGATAAGTCACTTTTTGTTCCGATGTTTCATCTTTTAGGGATAGAATACCCAGATCTCTGCAAATTTTCTCGTTCCGAACATATCATGGATTTTTGATAGAAGTGCTGTTGGGCATCTGGACCGACTAATGATCGCGGTATCGCCTGCGAATGTAGATGATGTTAGACGCCCGTTTGTTGGAATATCCGATGTGTATATGACGAAAAGAATTGAACCAAGGGCGCTACCTTGAAGAACTCCATCTTCTTTAACGTAATCGTCAGCTATTGTATAGTCGCATCTTAGTGAAAAGACTCTACTGTAGAGGTATGAATCAAGTAACTTGAGGGTGTATTCAAGCAAAATCGTTTTAATTTCATACATTACCCCATCAAGCCAGACTCGGTCGAAAGCCTGTACGACGTCAAGAAATATTGCACTGCAGTATTTTCGATACTCGAATGCTGTTCGTACTTCTGATGTTATTCTGTTGAATTGCTCTCTCTCGAAAGCCAAATTGATGTGCCGGGATAACGCTTAGATATGGGAATATACGCGTCAGAAAGCATTTTCGAATAGTTTTGAGAGACACGAGAGAAATCTTTGCCAAGCTTCGGTATCATAATGATTACGGATTTTTTCAATTTTTTTTGGAAGTAGCCAAGTCTAATGAATCCGTTGGACAATTTACAAAAGGCTTCATTTGCTAATGCAAAATATTAGTACAACCAAGAAAAAGTGAAAACCCATACAATTTATATCCATTAAAAATGTTGTATAACTTTACACCAATATGAACTTAAAAATTTGCTTCAAAACTGTGTAATACTCTAGCACATGCAATTCGACAGTAACAGCTAACTTAACAGCAGCAAGGCTTAACAGTTTTCTGTTATATAACCCATCCCTAAGGAGTGAGGGAAGTCGTCGGGAATTCCCGAGGATTCCCGGGGAATTCTCCATACAAAACGGCGACGAATTTATATAAAGCATTCGTTTACGGTGAGGATTCCTGATGGAATTCCCGGTGAATTTTTTCAGAAATTTCTGGGGAATTGAATTAAGAATTTTTTTTAATTCCCCCAGGAATCCATAACTTCAGTGGGAGGCAAATTCCCGATGAAATCCTCAGGAATTCCTGATTCCTCAGGAAACCCTGCTAAATTAACAAATAAAAATTTAATTCAATTACTTTTTATTTCTAATTTAATTTTCTTTTTTATTTAAATTTTTTTTCATTATTTTAAACACGATAAGGCTTCCCTTCTCCTCCGGCTGCTGGTCTTTCAACGAACTTATGATATCTGCAAAAAAAAACATCAAATAAATAAATCAAAATAAATCACATTAATATTAAATAACTGCACTTACCTAATTAATTTAAAATCTTATTAAGATTTTACTATTAAAAACACTTTTTTACTCAAGCTGTAGTCGAATTCAAGTGCAAACGGAATGGGGAAAAGGGAAACGAAACCAAAAATTCTGACACGCGCGTGCCAGGGTATATTAGATCAAAACAGTGGTTGTATTTACAAACTACATTAGGCAGATAATCAAACATGACCATTTTAACGTTGCCTTTAGCAACTTTATAAAAATCAATCAATAAAAATCATTTAAGTATATTCTTAAAAATAAAGAATTATTCTTCCCCCCATCCATCCCTCTCTATCATTTTCGGCCGCTGCTCCGAATTACCTCGAAAAAACAACAACAAAAGAAGTTCGAACATCTACAGTGACAGAAGTGCCGGCAGAATTTTGTTTGCCTTCTTATTTCGAACTTCGCTAGACCAAGCACATGCGATTTGTTTTTGTTTTTTTCGAACATGCCGCAAAAAAAGGCCAGGAAGAGAATTTCAGTACTGAAGGGTGCTTTCCTTCGCTACAATTACTCAGTAACATTATTTAAAAATAAATTATTAGTAAGCATCAAAAATCGGCCACTCATTAAATATTTGCAGGTATATAATAGGATAATATAAAACTTTTTAAAAAGCTTTTCTTGAAGTAAAAAAACTCTAGGTCTTAGTTGGTTATAAATCTTTATAACACAACTTTTTGATAACTTTCTTCACACAGCACTCCCTCGGGAGTGAGCCCCAGACTCACATTGGACTTGCGCTAGTTTCGTCTGCATATCACCGCAGACTCTTCAGCTATCTCTGGGTACAGCAGCTGAACGTCTAAGACTTATCTTGGGCTCAGATCAGATTTGAAAGTTTAGCACTCGAATGTGTAAATATGTATTGAACTCATCCAAACTTTTTCAGTTGCAATTTTAATTTTTGTTTACTCACTTTTTTAAAAAAAAAAATGATGTATGTAAGTATTTCTATTGCTTTTAACTATATAAAGTCTAATCTAATATATTAATAACAATAACAAACAAATCAAGATGGGGGCACTACTATTATTTGGGACGCAGCTGTATACATATTTCAAATCAAAAAAAAAACATTTTTCGAATTACAAAACCATTTATGGAATACAACCAAAATGTCACCCTTTAATTAATCCTTTAATTTAGTAGCTTGAGCTCGGAGTTACAGAGATTCTTCACTACCACTGACTTTAAATATAGTAAATAAAGAAACACAAAATAACAGATTTTTGAAATGTTTAATTAAAAGTCAATTTCAATAAACTCTAAATAGTTTAGTATTACAGAACATTCAATCGTTGTATGAAATGGATAAGGGAATTGAAAATAACAAACACTGTTACACGAACTGGGGTTACACTGTTATTATGTGGACCGCAACTGTACATACATGTACATACATACAAATATACAGCTGCAATAATTTCATTAGGCATTAATTAACTTTAACGAAAGAAATTATACAACTGAATACGCCCATGTGCCTATCTAACCCATGTATGTATCTAGTTTATAAAGCCAAAATAGATTGTTTACCTGTTTTATATTTCCATTACTTTTGTCTGAGGTCATCCCGTTATTTATACTCATTGTTTGGGCACAATTTTCACTAGTTGATTTAATTTTATTCTCGACTCGTACCTCACCAAGTGTCATGATTGCGGGTTAAGACCTGAAAATTACACGAAAATTCAGTATATGTTTATGTATGTATGAAAAAAAGTAAACATATTTTGAATTGTTTATGTTTGTGCATATGTACATATGTAGATAAGTTAACATGTACATATGTATAATACAATGAATTCCTAATTTCGTACAATTTAAGTACATATATGTATACATATGTGTCCATACGTATGTATATTATATAGACTTTAAATTTTTGCAGAATGATTGATGGAATGACGTCATCAAGTATAAAACTGTCTCGTTATTATAAATTTGTGTGTTATTATAGAGTATAAGAAACACAAATATTTCAGTATTAGTAATATCCTTGGTACTTAATAATATTTAATTTTGTATTTACATTAACAATCCAAACGAATGTTTCACTTATTTTGGTGAAAGTAGTTCGATAATTATAAACTTACTTATCGTTTTTGTACCATATCCAAATTCCTTCAATACAATCAGTGCTGCCCGTCCCGTAATTTTTCCGTTAAAATCTAGTTTTCGAAAAATTAATTTTATCTAGTTTCTATAATCCCTAATCGACTTAATATTTCAGGGGGATATGTATTAACAGCTTACTGAGTAATTATATATTATGAATTTCCGTTTTAGGTGATGGGTTTTTTACTCAAAAAAAATTTAAGAGGGAATGTATGTTCCAGTAAGTTTTCGAGTTATTTGTTATTTGTTAAAGATTCGTGATTGTTGTTTCTCCACTCTAATCCTGTACAATTGGCCTTCTTCTGGTGTATACAACGCCAGTAGAGAAATGCCACCGAAGTGTGATCCTTGATAAGCTTAAGCGAGCATCCTTAATCGTAAAACCTTCAAATGACTTCATTAGTGACTTTAAATGCTTACGACCTATAAATTCGCATTCTTGGAAGGCTTTGCTCGAAATAATCTCTGCCATAGGCCAAAATTGGGAGCGAATTATGGATGACTCCCCCGGAAAAACTATTGAGTGACGGTGATAGTTTTCATTTACGAAACACACCAAACAACCGAAATTGTTTCTTCAGTGAAACGGTAGCTCTGCTATTTTACGCTAAGTCCGATATATTTGGGAAACTCACGTAAGTGTGACTCGGCTATAATAACTCGTAGATATAAAACTTGTTGAATCCACCATTCCTTTCTTCCCTTATAGTCCAGTCCCACAGAGCCGATCCAGCGAAACGGTTGGTATTTTTTTCATGGTACTGGCAACTATTATATTAACTTAATATTATTTATAACATTTTATTACAGCTAAAGCTAAACCCCATGCTAGCAAAAACATTGTTATATTAACGCATGTTTCTGCAGAGAGCACATTGGCGGCATAGTTCGTCCGAAGGCTTCTTATTAAAAATGGTGCAAAAGAACTTTACGACCTAGATGGTATAGAAACATCTATTTTATATAAAATTAATGACTGCCGTCTATGTTACCAGCTAATGAGTGTAAGATTGAGTATGATGGCAGGGGGTGAGGTAAGTTAAGGAATATAAGGTAAATTTCAGGAATTTTTTTGGAGACGTTCAATTCTTTTGACATGAGAAGCGGGCGTAGGACACCATATAAATGCAGCATACTCCAATTTGGAACGCACAAATGCCGAAAACAATGCCAACTGATGCTGTTACGCCTTCCAAACCCAAACATGGCATAAGAGCTAGAAAGAATGTAATTTAAGTATTTGGAAAAGATAAATTTGCTATCCAATAATACCGCAAGGTTCAAGACCCATCTTAGTGTCTCAAAAGCAGCGTGTTTAATGAATACGCTATTGTGACATTAAGCAGGCATTTGCTGTACCTGACTTAATGGCAGCAAATTATGACAACACCAAGGTCTGACTACATTTAAGTCAGATTGAAGTGACTCTGCACCAGCCGGTGATCGAATGGATCAAAAAATTTTGATGTCATCGGAATATAGGAGGTATTCCGAATTTTTTAGAAACATCACATATCATTGATATAAATAATGAAAAGCCAAGGGCACTGTTTTGCGGAAGGCCAGATGTTTCTTTAAATGGGAAAGATAATTTTCCATTGATACTGACCCTATAAGTCAGGCGATCTAGGTAAGATTTAATCCAGTTTAATAGGGAAGAATGAAAACCTAGAACCTGACGAACTTTCAGGCCCTGGCCAAATAAATAAATAAAATTTATTCTATTAAGATTGAAGATGGCAGAGCTGAATATTTTTGGAATCAAAAAATGGACAGAGAAAGAAAAAAAAACCGCTTGTAATAATAAAGTGTTGACGACAAAATATTCCCGATACATTTTGATTACATGAGTCCCAAACTATTACTAAATATAATTATAACAAGAAAGGAAGCAATCTAAGACAAGTTAAAGTTTATACACCCTTTCAGCTATTGCAGAAATTAAATATTTTTTATAACATGTAAATTTTGAATTTTATGCGAATATATTCAAAACAATTGAATTGATTTCAATACAATTGAATACTTAATTCTAATTATTAAACTATTTCTATTATCAAAATAATTTTAAAAACTAATTGAAAGAGTGAAAAAGTGGTTACTAAAGAGTGGTGACTAAAGACGTACGGGCGATCACGCGTTTTAGATCCAGTGGAAGCTTTGTTTTTTGCATTCGATGTGTCTTCTCCAGGTAAGCTGTCTGTCAAGGTGAACGCCGAGATTCGTTACTTCGTTTACTATTTATTAATAGTGGAGGGCATGCTTGCCAGTTGAGAGTAAACGTAATGTATTTACATTTTTGTTTATTTATTTATTTATTTAATACGCCAGTCAGATAGCCACCTCTCCTACGATGAGGTGATTGGCTAGTTATGTTGTTGCTCGGTTTGGGCACTTAGAGAGAAGGTAGTTGTTGTTAGCTGCTCGTTGGTAGGAGTATCCGTTATATATAGGGCGTACAGAGTAGGCCCAAGTGCGCTTCCTTGCGGGACTCCAGCTTTGATAATGTAGTCGTCAGATGTTGTTGTGTTGCTCATTACTGCGAAGACTCTGTTGTAGAGATACGTCTCCCATAGCGTATGAGTGTATGTAGGCAAGTGTGTTTTGATTTTATGCGTGAGATTATTGAGCCAGACTCGATCTAAAGCATGAGATACATCGGAAAAGCGGTCGAAGGTTCGTATTTCTGATGGTTTTCTGTTAACGTGTTCGATTGTTCCATGACTTTGATGGAACCAAATTAATGTAATGTAATCTGCTCCCAGACAGACATGATTGGCTGGTTTTTTCTATTTTCTCGAATTGTAGTCGAAACGTATGATCCCATTAAAGAGTTTAGTTCAATTATCATTAGGTGACCGCCCGGAGCCTTTTTCACTTTCAGTTCCCCGATAGCTTTCGCGATCTCCTTTGACTGAAAGGTAAGGAATTAGTTTCAGATTCAATTAGTGGTAGGAAAAATGGACCAGTGGCAGGGTTCGCCTGGAGGACTCTTCGAGAAGGTGAAGCAAAAGTTTCGGCTCTATCTTCGTCGCTGCGGAAGCAGCTACCTTATGATTTTCTTATCGGAGTTAAGTGTTCGTGTGGTTGTCAATGTAGATTAGTTTTTAAGTGGTTGGTTTGCACGTCCTTACCTTGTGGTTTTGAAATAGTCTTTAAGAGCATTTTGTCACCGCAAAATCTATTAAGTAAAGGACTTTTTTGGGGACTGCTGGCCAGTATGTGGGGCTTCTAAGAGAAACATAGTCCAATTTGTTGCTCAGTTTTATGATTGCACTCTATAATTGCCTTTTTTGGGAGTCACGAGTCGTAATCCCCAGTCCGTATGTTTGGCATTATGGTCTCCTGCAGCTATGAAGCTATTTCCAAGTAAGTTGTAAAAATGCAGAGAGACGGGCAGTGGACAGTGGCTATGGGAAATTTTCCGTTACCTGACTACAATTTGACAGACATGGGGCTTTGCACTGAGAACTCAACGCCGAAGGAGAAGGTGTAGAAGTAAGTAGAGAGGGTGCTCTTTGGCTATAGACCGTCAGTAGAGCCAATCATTTACTACTCCGTAGCAGCGAGATTTATAAAATGTTGCTATATTGACAAGAGCGGTAGCAGAGCCATATCAGAACAACGAAAATGTTAGTGCTCTGCTCTGCTCCGTTCTGTTCCGTCGCATAAAAGCGTAGCCGTAGCGGTAGTAAAAAATTTAGAGCGAGATGAGAGCAGAGCAAGTGATACTTTTCTTGCTCTACTCGAAAATATTTACTATGTGCAATAGAAGGAAAAGTTGAGTTTTGGAAAAGTTTCATGCAGAAACGGACGAGCAGACAGTTAGGGCTAGATCGACCTTCCGAGTGATGCTGAACAAAAATTGTCTCCTTCACTGTGTTGCAATCTTCTGACTGAAATTATTAAAGCCTCTGCATGGGTACACACATTTTATTTCATAATTTTACATCATTATTATTATTATTATTATTATTATTATTATTATTATTATTAATATCGGGGTGTTCAGTGTACCGCGACCTGTAAGATCTATTGTACCCCCATTCAGAGCCTACAGCTCAGATATCAACCCACTTCCTCGAATAAAGTCGGGGAGTTTTAGTGGGTTGATTCTTCCTAGGAGCTCAGGTGTAAGAGTTCTGGTTCCTAAGATTTTACATCTTATACTTGCTAACGCCGGACAGTCTGCAATGATGTGTCTAGAGGTTTCGTCCTCTATGTCGCAGAATCTGCAAGTTCTACTGCTGGTTATTCCCATCTTACCTAGGTGACTTTTCAGTCTACAGTGCCCGGTTATTAATCCGGTAACGATCCTAAGTGAATTTTTCCCCAGTTGAATAAGTTCCTTGAACCTCTTCTTGTTATAGTTATTTATTTGAGTTTTGGCTTGCCTTAGGCCTGGGGTATTTCTCCAGTGTTCTTGTCTCATGGCGCCTTCCACTTTCCTAAGGTATTCTTTTATAGTGTGCCTCCCTATGCCACAGTAGGGCTCTGGGCCTACCAGGGGCTGTTCGGCTCCTACATCATTAGAAGCAATATGATTCTGAACGCTTGCATATAGTTAAATCAACTTGTAATTTTGTCGTAAAATGCCATAGCTTTCCTTTTATTCTAAGAAGAACTTTTCTCTTATATTTTATGTATTCACTGTGAGGAGTTGAATAACTCCCCACAAGTTAAGAAGCAAGCAGGGTAAGCGCATGCAAGCAGTGGCCTACCAGTTACCAGTTACGCGGCGAATTCGCCCGTAGTAACTGTAGTGTGGCGAGAGAGAGTGGTGAACTGAGCACCAGACAAGAACAAGGAGAGACCGAGAGGGCCAGCAATACAAGAGAGCGGCGAAGGGCCGTGGGCAGAAGGAAGTAACGGGACGGCACCGGACTTTAAACCCTGATATTGGTGCCGTGCGCAGAGGGCGAAAGGTCGAACGGTAAAACCGTGAACTTTGGACCAGGAGGCAAGGACACGCCAATAA